GGACAGGGACAGGATGGGGACAGCACACACTGTTTGCTCAGGGCACCCCGAAAAGCCACAGCCCGAACTTCAGTGCTGTCTCCAGCCTCTTCACCTGTGGGACAAGCAGCCCCCTGAGCCCAGCACAGGGCAGGCAGAGGGGACCCAGGCCCCGGAAGCCCCCCAGGCCCTGATTCCAGGGCAGTGCAGAGACCAAGGCTCCCCTCAGCTGCCCCTTTGTGCCCCCAGCACAGCCACTCACCTCCACTGGGCCCACGTGTGATGTCACCTGTGTCACACTGAGCCTGGAGGGTAAGAGGAGGGTGAGAGCCAGGCAAGGGGACACAGAATGTCCCCCTCGCAGAGCAGGTTCAAGTGCCAGGGCAGTGGGCATAGCCAAGAGCTGGGGCAGGATGGGGTCTGAGCACGTGATGTGGGACCCAGGGGAGGAAAAGGCCAGATGTGTGGAAGAGGGGGAGCTCCAATGCACATGCCAGGCTGAACCCAGCACAGGACTCACCCTGTCAGCTTCATGGTACCTCCGAGCCTGTTCCTGGTGATGGTTGGCTTCCCCGTCACATTGGCATCCTGCAGTAAGGAGAGATGTTTGAATGACAAGTGTCTGCAACCCTGCATTGCCCAGCATTGCCCAGTATCACCCAGTGCTGCCCCAGCATCCCCCCAGCCTGGATCTCAGGCCGAGGAGCCTTTGGCACAGCAGCACCAGCCACTCACGATGTCCAGCAGGAAGGTGGGGACACGGGTGGCGTTGGGCAGCACCACGAAGGCCTCGACAGAGCCGAAGAGGGTCCCGTGCAGGGCGTGGGGTTGGCAGGACAGCAGGGGCTGCTGGCGGGCCCAGAGGTGCAGCTCCATGGGCTGGTTTGGGTAGAGCTCCTGCAGCTGGGGGGGCGAGGGCTGGGCTGGCACCGAGCTGTGCTCGCACCACTGGCATCGTGGGCACCAGCCTGGGCTCCCAGCACTGCCCAGTGTGACCCATCACTGCCTGCCTATGGTCGACATCCTATCCTGCCTGTGTCCCATCCCACCTGCTTCCCATCCTGCATCTCATCCTGCCTGTATCCCATCCACCCGAGTCCCATCTCCCCTGCATCCCATCCCTCCCACACCCTACCTGCCTTCATGCCATCCCATGTCCCCCCTTCTCCTGTGTTCCAGCCCATGTCCTATCCTTCCTGCATCCCATTCCACCTGTGTCCTGCTCACCTCCATCCTGTCCCTCTTACACCCTCTCCCATGTGCTATCCCACCTGTGTCCCCTCCCAACCACACCCACCTTTGGGGCAAAGACCCCCATGCTCTTGGTCCTCAGCTGGAGTGGGAACCTCTGTGGGAGCTGAAAGGCACAAGAGGGGTTGGAGTGCTGGGGCCACAAGGCACAAGGACACCCTGGTGTGACCCCGGGGGGGCAGCTCTGCCTTGCAGCTGCCACCAGAGCTGTCCCTACCATGTCACTAGAGATGTTCCTGCGCAGGGCCCCAGCCATGAAGTACGTGAAGGCAGCTGAGTTGGTGACGACCTCGGTGACAGCCAAGAGCAGCATGGGCTTGTGTGCCATGGGCAGGTCTGTGGGCAGAGCTGTGGGCAGTGCCACAGGCAGCAGCAAGGAGGGGCTCTGCTGGCTCTTGCCCACCCTGAAGAACTCACCCTGTGCAGACAGATGGACACCAGGCTCAGCCCAGCTCCCCATGCCCTGTTCCCAGAGCCACCAGGGATGCACAGGATGGGGTTACCTTGAGGGCAATGTCCCCGTGCTCTGCTGTGATGGCCGGTGGCCCCAGCAGGGACCAGTCAATGGCTGCAAAGGCATCCAGCTGGGTGGACACTGCAGGGACACAGAAGTGGTTGGGGGGACTCAGACCACTGGCCCCCTTCCACAGCCCCGGCTCTGTTGACACAGGGGGTGACAGGATCTGGCCCCACAGTGGGGTCCTGCAGCCCCTGCCAGGCACCAGCCCCCTGCATGAACCCCCAGCCTCCTACTGCAATGGCCTCAGTCCCTTGGGACCCTCACCCACCTTTCACGTGCTGCAGGGCAGCCTCCAGCCTGTTGATGCCCTTGTGGAGCTCAAGGCAGATCTGGAAGCAGAGCTGGGTGTCAGGCAGCCCAGGCACAGGGGTCTCCAGGCCACTTGCTGGACCCTCCATGGAGGGGATGACACAAGGACACCGACACCCCACAGGGCAGGGCCCGAGCCCCCACCTGCTTGTTCAGATCCTGCCGCAGGGCTCTCTGGAGCAGCGGTGCCAGCAGGTTGTAGAGCCAGCTGTGGGCAGAGCAGGGTCCTCAGACCACCTTGTGGCACCCCAGTCTACCCAGCCCCCCCAGCCCACTGACTCAGCCAAGGGCACCTGGGGTGTCCCCAAGAGCTGGGGACAGGAGGGCAGCAGGGGTCCCGACGTTACCTGTGCCCACGGTGGAACTCCAGGTGCAGGTGGGTGCTGTGGGCGTTGCAGCCGGCGCCCCACACGGTGGGGCGGCCCCCGGCCCCCACGCCGCTGTCCTGGCTGGGGACAGAGAGGGTGAGCACGGGGACACCCGAGCCGCCCTGAGCTGCCCGTGTCCCCATCGCTGTGTCCTGGGTGGGTGAGGACTCACATGGCCCCCAGCTGTGCTCCCCAGTCGGCGCGGAGCTGGACACGGGCTCGTTGCACCCGCAGCGTCACCCCCACGTCCTCGGCAAAGGTCACGGTGGAGTCGTTCATCTGCAGCTCATGGATGTGGATCCTGCGTGACACAGGCAGCCTTGGCTCATGGCTGGGCCTGGGATGGGGACAGGGATGGGGACAGGGACCCCGTGGGCAGCACTTACCAGGGCACGGTGTAGGTGAAGGTCCCCAGGAGGGGGCTGTGGTAGGAGCCCCTCAGGTTCAACTCATGTTCCTTCTTCAGCAGCCACTGGAGCAGCTCCAGCCCAAACTGACGGCCTGGGGCACAGCAGGGGTTGGGGTTGACACCCAGGGTAGGGCTTGGGGGGCACAGGATGCTGGGGAAGGGGTGAGCAGTGGGTCCAGATCACCCCAGCATCCCCCATACTGGTCCACCCACCCAGCCAGGGGCACAGACCCACCGAATTCCAGTGCCCTCTGGGTCAGCCGGGCCTCGATGCCGGGGCTGGCGCTGGTGGCAGCACAGGCGGGGGGCAAGGGCGGGGGGGAGGGGAGGCTGGAGCAGAGGACATGGCTGTGGGACACCCGGTCGTCGCAGAGACCCTGTCCCTGCGCAGCAGCCTGGCTAGGATTTATATTGGGGACAAGGAGCCCTGGGTGACATCAGCCTCCTGCGCACATGCAGGGGACACTGCAGTGCTCCGGCCACCGAAAGCCCAACCTTGCCCAACGCGTGACTCAAAGGGGAAGCCAGTTCCCCCGTTGTTCCCCACTCGCACCCATTGTGAGAGTAGAGGAAGGCAGAGTCCCCACCGTGGGAATGTGTGGGAACTGGGCAGCACCAGCCAGGGCTCCCCACGACTGGCATGTGGGAACACACAGGGACCTGACCAGGCCAGGGTCCCAAGGGACTTTGGTTGTGTCTAGCCCAGGGTAGTGGAGGGGTGGGGGAACGTGGTGAGTTGGTCCTGGGGCAGGGGGAGGCGGCATCAAGAGGACAAGGCTCAGTCCACTTGCAACAGCAGCAGCAGCTGCTCCAGCTTTGGGAAGGTCTCTGGGGACCCTGCTGGGGGCACCTGAACCTCAGTGGGGGTCAGGGTGGCTGAGGTGCAGCAGCAGCCCCCAGGGTTGTGGAGTGACAGGAAGGTCAGGAGAGTCAGAGCAAGAGCAGAACTGTGCAATCCCCTCCGAAAAGCCCCGGCTGTGAGCGCTGCCCATACTCCCAAACCCGTGGGACCATCCCCCAGTTGGGTGAGCCCCTCCAGACGGACAGTGCCACGGGCTACACCTGCCAGAGGTCCAGCCTAGGGGCAGCACCAGGGACCCAGGGATCCCTCTGTGGGGGCCAGGGACACATCCCAGCACCGTGGGTGGACATGGGGCCATGGGCAACCTCACTGGAGGGACTGCAGCTCCACATAATGCACCTTACAGACCCCTTGAGAGCAGCTGCCTGCTTGCCCAGGACATCCAATGCCACTAACCAAAACTCCAGCTGTGCCCACAGCCCCCAGCAGCATCCCAAAGGCCGGGGCTGACCCCAGCCTCATGCCCACCATGGCCCCATGCCCACCACAGCACTGTGCCCACCGTCCATCCCCAGGTGCCTGTACCCCACACTAAGCCTCACCTTGGCAGATGGTCATGATGCCCCACGCCACAGGTCCCACTGTGTGTCCCAGCTCCACCATGTCCTGGGGCCGTGCTTGGCAGCACAGCAGGGACCAGCTCTGACGCCAATGTCCATGCTGGGGTGGCTGGGCTGGTTGGACCAGAACGTCACCTGGTTCCCCGGTCCCTAATCCTTTCCGGGATTAATCAGATCCCAGGAAACACCGAGGGGCTGGTTGGAACGAAGCTGCCCGCAGGGCTGGGCCCAGCCCTCCCCGGGGCTCTCCCCTGCATCCTGGTGTGGCTGCATCCGGCATCCCAGCACGTGCCAGGTGGCTCAGCCCTGCTGGCCCCACTGTCAGCCTGGCTGGGCTCTGGACGCCCCTTCCCCTGCCCTCAGGCTGTCCCAGCAGTGCCAGGTTGTGTCAGTGCCACACCTCACCCTGGGGGATGATGACTGGGGGTGCATGGTGAGGGCTGGGGCTTGGGCAGGGGGTCAAGGTAGAGACATGGGGACACATGGGTGAGCATGGAGGTCCTCAGCTCCAGCCAGAGCTTCCACGTCTGCTGGCAGGGAATGGGCAGCACCAGGGAGCACAGCAGGGACACGACCGCTGTGCTGGGGGTGAGCCCCAGCACCCCCACACCGGGCAGAGCCCCCAGCTCTCCCGGCCCCGGGGCCCTTCAGGCTCCTCCTGAAGAGTGTCCCGGGCCTGGCCGTGCAGTGCGAGTGGGCACCGGGAGAGGGACCCACCGCAGCAGCAGCACCGGGCTCTGGGGCCGGGGGGGAGCTGGGGCGATGGAGGAAACCTGGGAATGACAAAGGAGACAGACACCAGTGGGGGCAATAGAAGGGACACCAGCAGGGATGACAGATGTGACCCCAGGGAGTGATGGAAGGGATACGAGTGGAGATGATATAGGGGACCTGAAGGGGGAATGGAGGAGACACTGAGAGGGTGATGGAGGGGACACATCCAATGACAGAAGGGACACTAGGGATCATGGACAGGCTCATCCACAGTGACCTGAAGCCCACCAACTTGCCATGTCCCCCACTGCTGTCACAGCCAGGACAAGGTTGGCCAGGCCAGTCCATGTCCTGGATCCCCAAGTCACCTGTCCCTGATAAGCTCCCTATGCCAGGGGATCTGCCACACTGGGGAACCACGAGTGGCACAGACACTCGTGCACACGGAGCTGTGACCACACACAAACACACATGAACACACATGAACACCCACTCATGTGCACACAGCTGCAGCCAGGGTTGCTCCACCCCTTCCAGCCCCATAGACCCCCCCAGCTGCAGGACCCGGGGCCCTGCCATGATAGGATCAAGCCACCCCTCTGCCCAGGGGCTGGCAGGGGCAGGAGGAGCCCCCCTCCCAGCACCCCGATTTGCCTGTCAGGCCCGTGCACATCTGGTGCAGGAGGCAGCGTGTCCCCCGAGGCAACCGTGAGTCACAGGACAGCCCAGGTCAGCGCGGCTGCCCGGGGCACCCCCGGCACGGGGGGGGGTGTTGCACAACCCCTGATGCAATTTCCCTCTCCCGAAAGGTTTGCCCGCTCCTGAGGGTTTGCGGCAGGGTGAGCTGAACTGCAGAGCGCTCACAAACCGCTCCCCGCGGGGCAGCACAGCGGGACCGCCCCTGCAGCGTCACCTTCACACCCCGGCCCCGACACCGGGGTGACCCCGGGAGCCACGGGAACGCTGAGGGATGTGGGTGGCCCTGCTGAGAAATGGGCCACGGGCAGGGACACACTGGGAAATCGCTGCTGCCCCGGCAATCCCAGTCAGGCATGGAACCCCAATACCTGGCTCCCAGCACTTTTCCCTCAGTATCATCATCCCTTCGACGCACCTTCCCAGGGGAGTCACAGCCCAGGACTGCTCCGCCTCTTCCCACCACAGAAAACAGGGTCAAACCACCTTCCCTGGTGTGCCTGGCCCTGGCACACCATGTCCGTGCCCGGGGAGTGGGAGGGAGGAGGAGGACACGGGGCTCCAGGAGAGGCTTTGCAACGTGAGCACTGGGACAGGG